CTCTCTCTCTCTCTCTCTCTCTCTCTCCACACACACACACACACACACACACACACACACACACACTTTCATGTCGTCTCACTTTCAGCCCCGCTCCCCATCTTGCTCTGTCGCTCTGGCGATCTGCCGCGGGCATGGCCCGCGGCGCGCCTTTACTTGTTATAATAACTTTTATTTGAGCCTTAAAATTCACCATCACTGGTCGGAACTGGACAAAACATCGGACTGCCGAGTTGACATGATGATTTTCCAATGGATTTCAATGGGTGCTATCAGGTATGACTGGTAAACAGCATGGTGTAGAGAGAAATGTGTGCAAAACCCTAGATCAATCGGGTATCCCCACTTACAAAGGAGTTGGAGTTGGGTGCCTTGTCAATATTTCTAAACTGCTTGGTATTGTCGCGGGTTGTCTTGTTTTCTCTGCGATGAACAGGTTTCGTCCTTTTTGGCAACAGTCAATGGTTTGTGTAATGCACAATCATTTTTGGAGAATTTTGCAGTCGAAGCATATGGGAAGCGGAAGCTGCGTTCTCAATTTCTTCAAGCCGCAGTGAATGCGTCCAAGGACTCTGTTGCAACTAAAGCTCTTGAGGAGATTCGCAACGCAATCCATCTGCCAAGAAAAAAAGATGAGCCGGTGCAACTTGTTGACATTTACAAGGTAAGTAAAATTATTTGCTGTACCAGATGTGCAGAGAAAAGGAGGAGGAGGAGGAGGAGGAGGAGGAAGAAGAAGGAAGAAGAAGACGAAGAAGAAGAAGAAGAAGAAGAAGAAGAAGATTGCAGGGATGTCGTAGAGGAATTGTGGACAGAGTAGAAGAAGATTAGACAGATGCCATGTGTAATGACCCGCCAAAACACAGACTGAGAACACTGCTGATTTCTGGGTTTTGCCGGTGGAATGTATGTCTCGCTGAGATTCCCGCATTGTGCTGAGTTTTCTAAGGCTGTGTGTGTGCGTGCCTGCTGGTCTGTATACCTGCCTGAGTGCTTGTCGGCCTGTGACGCATGCTTAGGGGAGCGATGCGCAGTATACCAAGGATCCACAATGTGATGAAAAGGACTGAAATGGACAATGCAAGATCAGCGCAGCATCAACAAGCAATGTACATTCCTATACGTACAAGATAGCACGAAATGGCACGGCGGAAGACTTTGAAGAGAAGATCTGATCTGATCTGGACTGACCCGACATCCATCACACATCACGCATGGGAGAGAGAGAGGAGGGACCGCAATCATGGAAGAAAGGTCCCTCCCTCGTACACACACATGGGGAGAAACCACGGATGAGAGATGGGGGAGAGAGAGAGGCGAAGGAGGGAGGTGGCGAGAGAGTAGACCAAGATCGCAATGGCGAAATCCAAAATAGTCTCTTGCCGAATGTCCAAACAATGTCTGTCTCAGAAATGTCGAATCAGATCCTGGGCAATGTGCCCGTTACAACCCCAGCCTGAATCCCTACTGATAACCTCTCACACTCTCAGATTCGAAGAAGAAGAGATAAGGAGGAGGAAGGAGGGAGAAGAGAGGAGAGAGAGAGAGAGAGAGAGAGAGAGAGAGAGAGAGAGAGAGAGAGAGAGAGAGAGAGAGAGAGAGAGAGAG